ATTTTTAGTACTGAGCAGCTTGTATGCAGAAGTTATGTGAATGTATTATATATACATTCATTTGCATACATTTTAAAATGTTTTACTTTTTTGTTAATTTTGTATCAAATACTGTTTTCTAAACAAAACTAATATTTTAAGACTATTTTTATGGAAGGCCACATTACCACTCATTTTTTTCGTCGAGTCATTATGCAACGCCACATTTTTATTAATAGTATCCTAAGTAATAAATATTTCGTAACTTTGAGTCCAGAATCGATTCAACAACATTTTAACGAATGTAATTGTCAAGTTTTAAACTTAAATATTGATTATATTAACAAAGTTATTGTGTAAAATGTAACTGGGGTGCCATAATACCACCTTCTTCTCTATTATGTACAATATATTTACTTCTTTAAATTATATTTATATAATTTTAATATTTTAAGATGATATACACAAGCGAGGGGTTTATATTTGGCGAGAATCACCTGATTCTAAACCAAGCGTCACATATCTTACTTATAGGAACGGCGTATGTGGACCAACTGATCCACAGATATAAATTTAGCAAATTAGTCGCATTAGTCTGGATTGTTGACCCGTAATACTTCTACACGTGCATTGAACTCTTCTCAAAGCCTTGATCTTTCAATGAAAGAAATCTTTCATTCTGATTAGCAAATCCATGCATTGAACTTGATCATATGATTAAGTTTAGGGCTCAGATTCGAACATGTTGAATATTCGATCTATTCGAATAGTTGGAAGTTAAAAAAAATGAGCATCTAATTCTAATATTTCAGACAGTTTTTTTTTTTTTTCGAACAGTTTGAGCTTAAGCTGTGATCAGTCAGTGAAATGTCAATTCGTTATGTCTGAAGTTCGGACAGTAAATAAATATAGTATGCCTTAGAAACAAAAAAGCAGTTAAATGAAATTCCTATATTTATTGATATTGTCCTACAAATATCCTGAGCCATCCTGGACATATTCAAGATGATCCTGAGGATGACTTGTAATGTCTGAGTTCGAAATGTAATAATTTCGAACTTTCAGCTCTGAAGTGGGTTAAAATAGTTCGAACATACATTTTAGTCCAAATTATTTAACATTCGAACTTAAGATTCGAACTATCCGAACTATTAAATCGTCTGATGTTTCCGAGCACTAATTAAATTGAATTTAAGAGGAGTATTCACTTTTTTGACAAACTTTTCTAATCATTCCTTTTTCTATTTTACAAAAAAATTTGAAGATCTAGGTACATAGACGCCTTCTCCATTTATCGATACAAATTTCGCGCATGCTTGCAATGAAAGTCGCCAGCTCTTCGAAGAGTTTGCGTTTTGCCGACTTTATTTCACCACGGATGCGGCTCTTAAATGGACGGTGGTTACGCGAAAACCGGCTAACGATCGCCATCGGCGCGGTAATAATTTCCGTGGCGCGATTACCTCCGCGGCCGGCCGCGTGCACGCAAAACAGACGTGTTTTTCAACGCATCTTGCTACCTGTGTTGCAGCTCGATGACACGGCGCTCCAGTTGTACAAGGGCGGCGATTATGGTGCTTACCTGGACCTTGAAGCCTCCATTAATGAGCAACAGGAAGAGTTTGAGGGCTTTCATGAAGGTGAAAGGTGAGTGTCGCTAATAATTTATATTATATTTACATAATATTTATTTTATATTTTTAATAATTATTGGTGCAAAAATTGCTGACAAATGACTTCATTATTATGGATATATATGTATACAACATAAAAAGAAGTAACTCATAATTTGCGCTCATATTTTCGAAATTTAATTTTTCTTCTTAGAAATTTTATGATTTATTTCGAAGTAGGTTTTAGATTTGTAGTATATAGATACTTATTTTTTATTTTTCAACCAGAAAGAGGAGTTTCTCGTAATTTACTTCAACTGCGCGTAATGATAGAGGCCATTTGTGCCCGCTTAATTGCACCTTGAGAGTTGTTTCCTTGCATGCCACCTGAAGTTGGTCCTGTCGGGATAGACCCTGTATCTTTACGAGCCCCTTGCGGTTGGACCCCGGATAATCACATAGTGGACAGCAGTAGAACGTAGAGTCGTCGGAATAATGAAGGATATTTAGATGAGGAGAAGATAGTGTGCGTCTTCTCAGCACAATCGCAGCGGGGAGATTTGCGATACATCTTGAAAGAAAAGCTAATGGCACTTTGATTAGTCTGTCTCTTGTTAAATGAAAGCCCACCTTAAAGTAATGGCAAATACATAGTGCAAATACATTGGAAAAAGTTACGCAAAAGGTCTCTACAGAGTCGAATAATCAGCACGTTTAATTGTGATCTCCGAGTGAACGTTGAACAGAGGTAATTTTCTTCTAAACAGTACATTTAATGTAAGGAATAGTCCACAGGTAGAATTTAAACGCAAACCGTCGTGATAAAACAGAGAAATAGCTTGCGTTGAACACAAATCATTTTGCGAACGATCGTTAAGTGTTTTCGCTTGCGGAGGAAAAGTTTTTAATTAAAATACAGTAACGGAATGTAATTTATTTGACTACATACACACACGCACGTACGCACGCACACACGCACGCATGCACGCACGCACGCACGCACGCACGCACGCACGCACGCACGCGCGCACGCACGCACGTACACAGTCATGATATAAATTTAAAAGAAGGTTCTTTTCCTTGTGTTAAATATTATGGTTTAAATGACGTACTTCAAAAGTTAACTGACAATTGTATATAATATAAAATCGATTATAATTCAGGGTGTCCTCTACCGAGAAAAACCTGGAAAACGTGGAATTCTCAGGGAATTTCTTTTTACTCTTGAAAATCCTGGAATTCTCGTAGAATTTTGTTGAAATTGTCAGGGAAATTTTTCCAATTCTATTTTTTAATTTAAATTCTATTTTATTTGACAGAATCATTTCTTTGATCATTTTTTGATAAATAATGTAAGTTTGACTAGATCCTATTGCCAGATAGCAGCTGATTAGCCATTTATGGTATACTAACAGCATATGAAGGATAATACGTGGTCTACAATAAGAGTCGTAGTGGTCATATAAAAGTCTGAAATCGTAAGAAATTAACCAATCGTAGTCAAATGTGAGGAGAGTCCTATACATAATCGACTATAATCGATCAATTGCTTACGATTTCAGATTTTAGAGCTACTAGATTTCTATTGTAGAAAACCTCGTGTTGGGTACTGGCGAATAATAATAGCGAAATCCAATAAAATTCAAGTCTTTACTTCTTGCCGTGTTACAAAGCGTACCGCGTGTCGCCATACAATAATACTGAGTCTGGTCATACAACGACCTTTCCTACGCGCACATGCGCAAGACTCGCACGCTGCTACTCTTCGTTCTCGGTGGCGCTACTTACTTATAACAATGCGCGCGAATGCGACTAGGCGCTTAATATGAATAATTAAAATATATAAAAGAGAGAAAAAAAAACGCTAACACCTCGCATATGCTGATTCTACAATGAGTTAGTAGTCGGTAATCTTAAGTCTTACCGGTGAATCAATGAAATTGGCCAACGATTAAAGATACCTTTTCATGTTGATGCTCGACGCTCATTTTTAGCGTCAAAATAGGTCACGTGATCGAAATTGACGCTATTCGTGAATTTTTATTACGTTATCTGTTTTGACGCTAAAAATGAGGGTCAGCATGAAAAGGCATCTTAGTAAGACTACCAATTTTCTTAAGACTGGCTAAATTCGAATTTTCGAAAATGCTCAGAAGGAAGTAGAGGCATTTAACGAATAAATTCAAGCTTTAAAAAAATGGATTTCAATATTTTGTGTTGTCTAAATGTTATTTATTTATAAATATTATTTATATATCCTTTATTTTTTTTAAATATAAGAATTATATTTTTTATCATATTGTGTAAACAAAAGTTATGTTTATACATATACTATATATAATTTTTGAATTATTTGTTTAGGAATGTCTCTAATGTACAATGTCTCTAATCTTACCTGGAATTTTGAATAAAATTCATGAAAAAACCTGGAATTCTCAGGAAATGCTTTTATAAGATTTGAATACCCACCCTGTAATTAAATTGATTGTTTAACGATTTTGATTCCAGAAACAAAATTTTAAAATCAGAATTTGTTTCAAAATAATTTTTAGCAAAATGAATTATTGTTTTTATCTATTCTTGATAATGTAAGCAATTAAAATCTCACAAGTACTTACTGAAAGAAAAGAAATGGTTGTAATTACTATATAACAGTAATAATAAAACTAATTCTTACTAACATTATATAATAGTAATAAAACTCCTAACCATAATTATTTTACCATGAAATTATAGTCACAAATATCAAATACTTTCAGTACGCGCTTTCAAGCATTTTTGAAGCATCATTTTAAACTTTTACAGTATTCTATTTGTATATATTTAGTGGTTAGATATTCACACACGGTGAAATGTACGAGAAACCAGGCGCTTTCTGGTTTCCGTCGTTGAGAATGCACGGCGGCTGCAGCAGTATATTTGCGGTTTGCGTATCGAATTCACGTTAATGCCGTGAAGGCTAACCGTGCTCGTTGTGTATTAATGCAGGTAAACTCCCTAGGGAAGGCGAGGCATGTACGATGTTAAATTTAGTCCTCCTTTGAGAGCTTCGAGATCTGTGTCTTTTCGGTGACTTTTCATTCTTCTTGAATCTACGCAATATTGCTCACTCACATCAGATATGTGATAGCGAACTATCGCATCGAAGAACGCGGAAGCACGCTATTTTTATATTCATCACCTTTTCTTTCTCAGAGAGATACCTTGCGATTCATTGAAAATTTACTTATCAATTCTGTTCTGATTCAGAAAATAAAAAAATAAGATAAAAGCGCCGAATAATTATACTAATAATATGCAGTTATTTTGATAGAATTCATATATTGTTTTCTATGGCATTTGATCACATTTTTCATTTTCATATGGAACCTTTGCATACATTCTAACTTTAATTTCAACTCTTCTCCATTAGATGGAGAAGATTTTTACACATTATTATAACATAATTATGGATAAATCTTTCTTTTGTTATAACTATTAATTTTAAAGAATAATTTAAATTTAAAATTTTTTTTAATTTTATCTATAATTAATTTTAACATAAGAAAAATATGATTTGAGAAAAGAGAATTTTAGCAGATTGTTTTATACTATATGCGTATACAGTATATATATATTATATATACATATATACATAATATTACGTATTATGTATTTTTTAATAAAATACGTTTATTACATTGTTGAGTATTCAGTATTTGGGATTTAGAATGAATTTAAATAAAAATCAATTGATTTTTCTTGTTGCATGGAGCGTTATATGTATGTGATGTGGCCGCAATCTACATTTTCGCAGCGACTGATGAAGACCTGAAATGGTCTCGTACACGCGCGCGTTGGAAAAAAGATCGTTTCCATTAATCGGCACCACTACGTCAGTATACGCTTGATGCACCGCCTTCAATCGGATTGCATTTCGCTAGTTGCGCGTTCAAAGGCACGTTCGCACGAAACGTCGAATAAACGCGTGGTAGCTGAATAAGAGGAAAGGTGAGGGAAGAGGATTGGAATCGCTCGGACACGATTTTGGGTGACGAAGGCTGAGGGGAGGGATGGGAGTTAAATAAATGTTTGCCCGCAGAGATATGCGTTCCAATATTTGAAACTCCGGAATTTCCGCGAACCGCAAAATGACATCATACGTTTACCGCACTTTCGTCCCTTTCTCCGCGTGTCCGTCTCACGTGTGGTTCGATTTTTCGTTCTCTCTGGCACATATACATATGCCCCTAAGCCTATATAAGTTTCAGACACGTTTGTGTGCGGCGAAACTAAATGAAAACTGGCATTTCCTGCTGTAAACGTAATGTTGGCTGTATCGAAGAAATTCATTATTATAGTTGACAGTCGAATTTAATAGACAAAAAAATTCAGGACACTAGTTCATAATATCATTTAAAATTACTTATCATATGCCGCGGAATAAAATGGTAATAACAATGATGAGTAAGAAATTATGCTGATCTGACAATCGCATCAACAAAATAATGTTTCAGTCGAAAGAAATATTTCTTATTTCGATCGAATTTATGTAACTTGTGTATGCAGAAAAAGGGGTAGATAGGAGGAAGGTAGCCAGCTTTCGCGTGGGTAACGAATCGTTTATCTTTGTGGTAATGTCTGGCAACTGTTCGCCCACGCGTATAAGATACCGCATGCGTATTCACGATATTTCTCACGCAGGCTGTTGCGTCTTGCATACTCGCGAAATTAATTTTGCGTATAGCTGCGTCCTAGGCGGTCATCCGTGTCTCGCATATAAGGAGGTGGGGAGAGTTTCGTGCGATAACAAATTGAAGAGGCCTCCTAAAGAACGATACAAGTGACTTTTTTGAATGTTATAAATTGATGACATAGTATCTCTTGTATGACATAGTATTTAATTAGCGATGTTAAATCAACAGTTTTCTGTAATTAAACTGTAAATTAAAATTAAGATGAGTATTTCATATCTACTATATCATATTAATATACAGGGTGTCCCATTTTAAACAATGCATATAAGATTTCTCGGAAACTATGGTAGATACGGAA